TAGATGATATCGTCAAACGGGCTGCACATAAACCGCTGTTCACCGGAATCCAATCAACCAACGATGGCTCAGCCTTGGAGCTGAGAATAATACATACACCAGTTTGACCCGTGAGTGCTGCATCGGCCAATCAGGATGCGTGACACCAATAACGAGAGGATAAACCGGGTGCAGTTAATTCAATAACCCCGTTAGGGTCTCATTGATCCTAGTTTCGGACACACAACACACATCAACACCCAGTGTGTCCAAGGTGCCGCGAGTGCAGCCTGCTGACCTGTTTGTCTTAGAGTGCGGACGTTGAATGTCGCCATGGAAACGGGAAAGCGTGACCTTATAAGGGACTTTTAACGATAGGCGTCCGATAGGTGCTGTGGGATGGTGGCTGCAGATGGTTCTAATCCAGTAGCACTTCGGTTGCTGTCAATTAAGCTGGGAATTATAGAAGGTTAGTAATGGGGGCCGGGATGGGAGTAAGAGGAAAAGGTGGAAAAGAAAGAAGGGAGGCGCCAGCAGTAGCATATTTTCGCTTATCCGCCCTGCTGTATGCAGCAGATAAGGCGACCCTTGATAATCTGCGCGACCGCCGATTCAGGATGAAGTTTATGTTTGAAGAAAATGTCATGGTTGTATGTGGGCTGAGATACTACCAGGGCGCCCAGACCTAGACAGGAGGACGATTAGGGTCCTCATCCAAAGTCTTTGGCTCAAAAGCCTGTCCGCAAGGCAGCAAGGTGGCCGTGATTAAGTTTTACAGAAATGGACGCCATCCTATTTCAAACCCCCAACCTGGAGGACCAGGAGACTGAGTTTGTCTGACCTCTCACCATTGACCAACCTGGTAGGAGTAGCTCTCAGGATGCTCGAAGGCATCACGCAGTATAGCTCAATGGGTCAATGAGGTACGCAAACCGTCGCACCACGTTAAGGTCGAGTCTCGTTGCGACGGAGTCCAATCTCCTTGCGACGGCTTTCAACTGCACCTTCACAAAACGCAAGATAGTGGAGGGCAAGTCGCACCATATCGCAGCTAGGAATCAGTCATGGCGATCGGCTGGCTTGCCGAACAACCTCCTCGTGGTGCCAGCCGGGTGGTTCGGGATTATCCTGTTCCAGCGAATGGTTCGGCGGCAGTGTTCCAGGACGTGGTGTGTTTTCGCCTGGCAAGCGTTCTCCCTATAAAAAGCCACATATGTCCGTTTAACAACACTGTGACGTGGCGGATGTGAGTCGCCACTAAATAAAGTCACTGCTCCTTGCCGCTCTTTGAGTGGCATTGTAATTCAAGGGTGCGTTGGGTCCTTGGTCCTATGCGGTCCTAAAGGCGTATGAACCACTCGTTTGGTCACCGGCTCCCAAGGGGTTGCGATGCTGCCTTGTAGGTTAGAACCTTGATCAAAGGCTCGGGGTGGGGCCCGCTAAGACAACCCTCTACTTCGGCTTGGGCAACCGGGTAGTATCTTGCACACTGACGAACCATGGACTTACAACCACAACCATTCATCCGCCGTCTTGCTGCTATCATGTTATCCACTCATGTTACTATGCCAACTGCACAAGCACACGCCACCATTTTACCTGCCCTTCCCGTGTACCACTCGGAATTCATGGGAGAATCAGTCATTGTTCCGATTCACAAGAAGGGCTCCCGCGACGCTTGCTGCCACTACCGCGGAATCTCGTTAATCTCTGTCGCATCCAAAATCTTCGTGTCGGTCCTGCTTGGCAGGCTTTCAACGACTAGAGAGGAGCTTTCCCGAGAAGAACCAGCCGGATTTCGTCCACGCCGCGGCTGCATCGACCAAATCTTCACACTTCGGCAAGTTCTCGAACTTCGTCACATCCACTGGCGGTCAACAATCGTAGTGTTTTTGGACATCCGAGTGGCATTTGATTCAGTAGATAGATCTGCGTTGCGAAGTGTTTGCTGAAGAAAAATGTGCCCGACAAGTTTGTAACTATCCTGATAGTACTTTACAGTCACACGTCGGGCTTGCGGCACGCACACCTTCTTCATTTGCTTTGACCAGCGGTGTTCGCCAAGGTTGCCCTATTTCACCTTTCCTCTTCAATTTCGCCATCGAAGATGTTCTCCAAAGAGCACTGGAAGATGTCCAGGACTGCGGTGTTGAGCTCCTCCCTGGAGACAGAGTCACGGACTTCGACTACGCCGATGATATCACCTTGCTGGGGGATGACCCACAATCCGTCCAGAGCGCTTTGGACCGCTTGGCGATGGAGGCGTTTAAGTACGGCTTATTCTTCACTCCGGAAAAATGTAAAACGCTGCTCCAGGACTGGCAGGTGCCTGAACCCGCGCTCACCATTGCTGAACATGTTCTGGAGCAAGTCCATTGCTTTACTTATCTAGGGAGTTGCATTACGGCTGGTGGCGGTGTTGGAGATGAAGTCTCACAACGGATTACAAAGGCCCACCTTGCTTTCATCAAACTGAGGCACCTATGGCGTCGTCGTGATGTCAGTCTCAAGCTCAAGGGCAGGGTGTACAATGCTTCCGTCCGTGCAGTACTCTTGTACGGCTGTGAGACTTGGTCTATTCGCTCAGAAGGCATGAAGCGGCTGTCAGTCTTTGATAATCGCTGTCTGCGAAGGATTGCTAGGGTGTGGTGGCAACACCACGTAAGCAACGCAGAGGTGCGAGAACGTGTGCTTGGGGCGAATAGTGCCAGTCTTCAGGACGTTATTCTCCAACATCGCATGCGTTGGCTCGGGCACGTTCTGCGCATGCCAGCCCATCGCCTTCCACGTCGAGCGCTATTTGCACTCCAAGGGAGCAATTGGAAAAAGTGCCGCGGTGGACAGCCGATGACGTGGAGGAGTATGAAGAAGGCAACCTCAAATTTGGCGGCAGTCGGACCAGTCCGCCTTCAGGGTTGGGTACCACGAGATCCTGAATCGCAGTGGTTGGAAACATTAGACGTCATGGCTCGCAACAGACACCACTGGCGTCAATGTTGTTCTGCAATTTCACCATCCCTTTGATGCACACAAAAACTCACAAAACAGAACAAAAGCACAAAATGACGTGTGTAAAACCAAAAAAATCGTTTCCCATATTTTTTAATCGCATTAGTGTTCCAATCTTCCACACTTTTTTCTTCTGCCATGGTGTTGACGGCACAATGTTTGTTAACAGACTGTGAAGATATATATATATATATATATATATATATATATATCGGTTTCAGTCACCCATGGCTCAGTAACTGTAGCGATCCTATGGCCACTAACGCAATTCGGAACGAACATGCATGGAAACAGAACACTCACAAAGAAATCACGGCACAGAATGACAAATATAACCCCAATCTAGCAACAGTATATAGCTCCAACCCCGGAAGAAAAGAAGACAAAACCTTGTTACAGGAGCTCGTCCGTAGCAGCCCTCGAACCCATTCTCTCTCCTCTTTCTCTGAAGCAGCCCACAGAAGATTGGTCGTAAACCGCCTGTACTTGATTTGCTAGCCAATGAGAGTAAGCTAATGGCATCGTTTACCTGGAAGTGGAGCAATGAGAATGACCTGCCTTGAAGTCCTCCAGTAAGCGCACTACTCGAACAATCAACAAGCGATTTTTTGCTATAATCAGGAAATTCCAATTAGGTCATTCTCTCACGAACCCATATTTTAGTTGTGCATACTGTCTTCCGGGTGCACCATACAAATTCCCGGCGGCCTCTGTCTTCTGAGTTGGGAAATGGCTGTGTCGTGACCCGGGTGGCTATATCGGTTATCCGTACCGTCAGCGGAAACAAAAGACTTCCGACAACAGATTTATTCGCAAGCCAAAACAGAAGACCAGAAAGTTGTGGAAACTCATGATTGATTTAAGTCATCCAAAGGCCTTGTCAAATCAACCAATCACAGTGCTCGTCTGGAGCGGAAACAGATAGCACGCAGCGTTTAAAAAGCAAAAATAGTGGCTAACAATAGGTCCATCGTTTTGGCTGATGCTAGAATAGTTCTTGAGAAATATGGCATTTTTCCAACATTGGCTTAAGTGTTTGACTCGTAAGAGCAAGGTTGTGGGTTTGGATGCAAGACGATTAGACGAGTGCAAGAGTCCGAAAATAATCTTAAGGTACTTCGGCACTTTCTGGTGTGTGTGTGTGTGTGTGCAGGCTTCCCAACGGGGTGATGTTGCGCTGAATCCTCACAAAGCACAAAAAAGCTTCACATCCTTTGCAGCAATTTCCATGACGGAGGAATGATGAAACCTCTAACAGGGGTCAGTGTACCGTGACTGTTGTTCAATGACTGCGAGCCGGAGACATTAACCATGAACAAGTTCCATGGCGTATTCCCGCCCTCCATATGCGCATCGAGACCAAAAACTTCAGTTTACTTGCAAACAGAAGAGCCAGAAGTGATTAAACAACCTACCCCTGAAAAAGAACCCAACAGCGATTGGTGTATGGTTCTTGAAGTTAAATTTAAGTTAAGTCCGTGATTTCGTGGCGCACCTAATGCAAGCAGGTGGTTCTCCATAGTTCCACAGGCCGCGTACGGGGAAAATAATGAGGAAGATTATACTCTACGACATTAAGATATGATCGTCTCCGGCTCAGGGAAATAACCATTTGCTTAAAATATACATACGAACAGAATGTAAATGGAAGCCACAAATAGTGTAAGATTTTGAAAGAATGTGGTACCTGAGAAAGAAGTATCGCTGCACCAGGCGTCAATCTTATTTCATTTTGGCGCAGGGAGGATAGTTAAAAATGGCATGTTGTTTTCAATCTGTATGCAACCTAGCCTTGAAACAACCATCCCGCTCCTGAGTTGATTCTAGGAATTTCAACGCTATGCTTTTGACTACAAGTGCAATATTGGTCATGGATTGTAGCGGCAACAATAAACCGGCATCGGTGGGCACAGGTAATCCGTTCTTAACTAACACATTGCAAAGAAATCAACGTCTCGAACAAGTGCCCGGTTTCTGTTCACATTACCAGAGAAATTCAGATGCCAACACAACTACATGCACCGATCCACAATAACTGCGAATGATGCCACATAAAAACAACCACAACTCACACCCATGCCAGCGGCGCTGCCCATTCTGCGGTGAAATTTTGTGGAACCGTGAGCGGCTGGGCCGCCCTTCATCCCCCATCGCTCGATGACTCCTTGAAAGCCTCGGTTGATGCTGTGTGGTTGTGACAGGGGAATGGGGACGTCGATTGAGTTGCAAGAGAGGAATGTATGTAGCACAAAAGCACGTCGTTTAACGACTTAAGCTGCATTAAATTGATGTAAAAGTGGGATGGTGTAACAAGGATCCTAGCAAACAACTCACAAAGCAACTCTTGGTCTGCTCTATGCGGATGTGAATCCATAGGATACCGCGAGGTCTAAATGTCCTAACTAGCCGACTATGATCTAAATATCGATTAGCAGTAAGGTGACCTTCTGCAGGCAGTTAAAAGTCAAGGAATAAGCACACACCTGGAATAGCGCTAAACAACGGCCTCATTCCATTAGGGAATAGTTAAAACCCCGCAACACCTTGTAATTCCATGAAATTTGACATATCTGTCATCCTCTTAAACGGTAATGATCGATCCAATCCACTAAGAGTGACCGGCTATAGATGGAGGATCAGAGAACATCTGTTGGCAAGCCAGTACTAGGAGAATTGGAACAGATTTTCAAGAGAGCAGAACTAATTGTACACTGCGCAAATGCAACCTTGCAATTAATGGTCAGCTGAAGGTTCGAGACGCGGATGTAATGTTTGAGAGTTCAAAGTTCCTGGATAACGCTTTTGAAAACATGCATTCTTCCAGGACCGCATAACTATCACGTGTTTAGAAAAAACACAGACGTCAGTAGCAAGCAATCCGATATATATATATACATATATATATATGTAAACTTGAAATTTATGCCTAGTATTTTTTGTTAATGCGATAGCATTGAATGTTCAGAAACAATTTGATCTGTTTCTCCGCCGAGGGAACGGCTTCACGCATCATCAAAGAGTATACAAATCATGAATTTAATTAAAGGCGGCTGTAGCTAACAGGCAACTCTGATAACAGTAAAATAAAGGTGTATCCATGGTTGTAGGGTGATACAAGTGAGAACGAGAAGTAATGGCGATTGTAATCGTGAAATGGGATAAGAATTAAATGAAGGCCGAAGTAGTACGGTGATCGCGTGAAGGGAATTGACCAAGAAATTAAGCACGGTGCTGAATTACTCATACGTTGGCAGTAGTCTTTTAAGAAATTTGAAACAGTGAGTCACCATCAACCAATTCATCAACGCAGTAGATAGACACGATATGTTTACATTACGTTTACTCCCGTCAGTCGCGATGCAATAAAGGCAGAACAAAATACGCGTTAAATACGGTTCACACTTGGCAACAAAGACAAACACACAAAATTGATGTGAATGACGTACTCAGGTTCATGGCAACGTAAATGATTGCCTCAGTTGTTTCTGGGCACAGAGCTCGGGACCATGCAAACTTATCGGTAGCGCCTCGCTAATTGCCAATAAGTTCGGGTTTCTGTTGCGCGATAGCACCTGGCATGAGTTTTTATACCGGATTCTGCTATCCAATGGGTATCCGAAGAAATTCATTCAGATTCATAACAACCCCCCCCCAACCCCAAGGAGAAGCTGCTAGTGCAAACAAAGAAGGATGTTTACTCATTGTTACTGTTCAAGGGGGGTCATGTGGTAAATGAAGTTGGTCACAAGCTCAGGTCCGCTTTAATGCGCACCTACTCTACCGCCCAACTACGACTAATCCACACTACACGAAGGATTCCTCTCCACAGCCGACCGACTAGCTCCGCAATCAGCTCGGCCTCTAACATCAACTACAAGTTCACTTGCAGTTGCGGTGAGTTACAACGGCAGGACTGGTCGCCGACCGGCTCAAAAGGTGACTGAACACTTCCCATTGTGGCTAAGACAGCCGCTGTCTCACCAAGGCGGAGTGCACTAAAGAATGAACCGGAACTATGCGTCGTCTACCAAGAAACACGTAATGACGACTCGTCACCAGGTGAACCCATGCGAATCATTCAAGGTGCTATTGGGCAACAGAAACCCGAAGTTATCGGCAATTAGCGAGGCGCTACTGATAGGTTTGAATTGTCCCACGCTATGTGCCCAGAAACAACGGGGACAAACAATTCATCATCATCATCATCATCAACAGCAGTACATCAGCCATGTGAACTGATGCTTCGCTGCCATACAATCATGAGGACCTATGAAATAAAGAATAAGAAGAGGGAGAGAAAGGAGGACTTACCTGAAAACCTTAATGCTCTAAGCAAACATTCAGGGTCAAGGCGCCTACACCTTGTGTAGACAACATTCCGTCACAAACAGCTGGCTATCGTGCAAAGATAAGGCGGCATCGGCGAGAAAGCTTCCTTGCGGCTTTCACTGCCACGCGTCATAATCAGCCATTACCCCGCAGATAACTCAGCACCAACACACACTTTAAACAGACAATCCGATTAGGAGACGGCAGCAGACGCGCCACTGGTGTCTACTGCGAGCCATGTCCTGTAAAGTCTCAAGCCAAGCACAAGGTGAGTCACGAGGAATCCAACCCGGAAGGCGAGACGGACCAACGGCACCCAGTTTGGTCGTCAGTGACTTCATTTCCCGCTGCCAAGTCAACTTCTGTCCACCTCGAGCTTTGCGCCATCCTACACCTGGCAGACTGAACAAGGCCCTCCTAGGTAAGCGGTGACCAGGCATGCGTAGCACATGCCCGAGCCAACGCAACTTATTCAGTGCTATCTGTTGTTCTAGGGAGCTAGCATGAGTATCACCACCTAGTACTCGCCTACGCACATCATCGTTGCGGACACGCTGGTGCCATCCGACACCAGCAATGCTTCGCAAACAACGATGATCAAAGACTTGAAGGCGCCTCAGATCTTCAGACCGAAAGGGCCAAGTTTCACTACCACAGAGCAAGATGGCCCTCAATGTGGCCTTGTATACACGGCATTTCAGACGGAGGGAAACTCCCTTCTGTCACCAAAGATGCCGCAGGTTCAAGAAGGCAGCTCTGGCCTTTGCAATGCGTGAGCTCACGTCAGTTTCTATGCGCCCATCATTGCTGATGCAGCTGCCAAGATAAGTGAATTGATCAACCACCCCGAGTTCCTCGTTAGCAAGCGTCAAGGGGTCAAACAATTACGTTGCCATGAACCTGAGTACGTCATACACATGAATTTTGTGTGTTTATCTATGTTGCCAAGTTTGGACCACATTTAATGCGTATTTTGTTCTGCCTGTATTGCATCGTGACTGACGAGAGCAATAGAAATGTTAACACATCACAACCTGTCTTCTTACTGCGTTAACGAAGATATTGGCAGGGGTACAAGTCGTCCTGAGGTTTACACGATTGACCAAGGCGATTCTGAGTGCCACTACACAATGGATCGATGTGCAATCGAGAAGAAATGCAATGTCAGTGCAAAGTGCATCTCAATAAATAATGTCAAGAGTGCTTACGTTCTTGCGGTCACATCCAGGTGGTCACCAACTCGGAAATGGTGTACACATAGCGGGGTACCTAAAGAAGGAAAAATGGGAGGCATGAATTTACGAGGAGAAAAGATTTGATGTGGCGCACAACTTCGACGAGCTACTCACAACTAGTCCGCAGATGTGTGATTTTGAGTTGGCTTCCGGATGCACAAGAAAAACTTTGAGTAAAAACACATTACGCCTTTGGTTCGTTCAAGTGAGACACAGGAACAATCAAACTGTACGCTAAGGCTACAGGACGAATAGATTGGAGTTAAGGCGTCGGTAAGCACCACTAAAATGAGGTAGCCAAAGAACTAGCGGGCCACGAATGCTGGCTCAACATGACAGACGCGGAAAATCTAGAGTTTAACTGAAATAAACTTGGTGCGTCATCATACTGACATACGTTTCGCAACTTTAAAGTGCAAAGACTGTATCGAAAAACGAAAGTCGCTATCAGCAATGTATCAACAGTGCGTATTGACGGTTCGCTGTCGCTTGACCGCAAGCAGTCGAAGGCGAGCAGGGGCGATGCAGGAGCAGAGAATCGAACACACGACGTGGGTTTTGCTAGTCGTGCATCGGAAGCAACACTACATGCTGGACCGGATAGACGTGCTACCGATTCTTACAATATCATAGAAATAGCTCAATGTGTTCAGTGGCTCGCAGACAGCCAGAACGGAATCAGGATAGCGGCCGAAAATCTGTAATATGTAGACACAAGAAGGACAAAAACATTTGATCCGTAATGCAAATCAGCTACATCGCAACGATGCCTTAACATTGTGCAACGAGTTGTGTCCTTGTTAGAGCATTGACCTATACAGGTTGTACAAACGATACGAAGCCTAAACTAAGTACGTCGTACGAAAAGTAAACTAGAAACAAGAAATAAACCTGGACTTAACGCATGGTCTGGTCAGAAAAATAAAATGAATTATCCTGTAACCGTGGTTCTATAAGGCATATTAAATACAGTACATAACTTACGAACGGTTTTGCAACCGTAATGCAAGAGGGCAGCAATTGGACAGCGTGCGGCGGCTTGTGAGTAATTGGGCAGTATCACAGTAACGTAATAATATGAATGACGTTGGAAGCTCAAGGATATGTCAGTGATCGATAGTGAAAGGAATAAATATACGATATGGTAACCGATTGTAGGACACAGGGTGAAGCAATGTAAAATAGTAAAATAATTAGGGAATAAAGGTACCGTGTCCTTATGTTGGCAATCCAGGTTGGGAATACATCAAAGTTCCTTTTGGACTTTACACAGGTGGTGACCGCTGGCCCTTGGAGAGTACTCCTATCAAGGGTTAATGGTGAGAGGTCAAACGAACTCAGTTTCCTGATCATTTAGGTTGGGGCATCCATTTTCTGTAAAACCAAATCGTTGCCACATCAGCTGCCTTTTGGACAGGTATTTGAACCAAAGTCTTCGATTGAGTACCCAAATCGTCCTCCTGTCTATATCTGGGCATTCTGACAGTGTTTCAGTCCAAGTATAAGCATGACCATTCCCTCAAACTTCGACCACATCCTGCATCGGCTTATCAAGGGTCGCCTTATTTGCTGCATACATCAGCATGGATAAGCGAAAATACGCAACTGCTGGCGCCTCGCTTCTTTCCTTTCCATCAGTTTCTCATACACCCTTCTCTACCCCATTACTACCTTTCCCTCCGTAATTCCCTGCTTAAATGACAGTAGCCGTAATGACACTACAATTATATTCCCGCACCGCCAACTATACGCCAATCGGCAAAAGCCCCCTCATAAAGCCACAATGTCCCGTTTCCCTGGCGACGTTAAACGTCCGCATCCTATGACAAATGAATCAACAAGCTGCATACGCAAGCGCATTGGGCACATTGGGTACTGACGTGTGTTGTGTGTCCGAAACTACGATCAATTACCCTCACGGGATTGTGGAATGAATTGCGCCCGGTCTTCCCTCTCGCTATTGGTTACGCGAATCCGGAGACGCTAATGCGACAATCCCTAGTCAAGCTGGATGGCTGGGCAACGTTCTCAGCTCCATGACTGAGTCATGGTTGGTTGATTGGATTCCTGTGAGCAGCCGTTTGTGTGCAGCCCGTCTGGCGACATCAACTAAGGTTGATTCACGAAGTAGAAAAAGGCGCTGTTTGTTTGGGGCTTCGTCTTATGTTTTCACCGACTGCAGTTCTGATGCTGCCAAGGACACATTCCACCACGAACTGAACACGCCGCTTCGAAGTGTTACAGGTTCAGAAATCAGGGATCTTGCAAGGGATATAAATGTGCAAGTAGGTTATCTGAGCTTTTCAGAAGTCCTGTTAGGCAGAAAGTATGGATCAAACTCTGACCGTACGGACAACGCGAGCGCCTGTTGCAACAGTGTGTGGAGCACCAGTTGTTTCTTAGTAGCACCGCCTCTAGACATGGTGCGCACTGAAGTGTTATTGGCGTTTCCCTATAGATGGTCAGCGATGGACCCAAATTGATCACGTTGCCATAAGTTACAGGTAGAGTGGTTCCATAATGAGTGGACTCTCATCATGCTTTCGCAAGCTGACCTTTTTCCACGAACTTCTCCAGGAGGCGTATATCACGTGCCTCCTTTGATCGGTAACTGAGAAGTCATCTCAACCCTCAGTAATGTAAGCCTACCAGGATGCCCTGCGTATATAACTTTCGCTATCGTGTACTAATGACAGCGAGATCTAATGGACTAAGATATCGGTATCCATGCACGATGCGGGCGCCTCTACTTGTGAAATTAGCAATCGTCATCGCACCGGTAACTGGATATCCGAGAGGTAGCTGAACCTGTTAGAATCCGGAAGAAAACTTCCCGGCTGGCTCTGAGCACAATGAAACTAGATGAACTATTAGGCGCTAACTAAAGTGAAGCCCGCATGCTGGCAAGGAAGCCTGGCGGAGTAAGTAGGGCCCCAAAATGGAGGAGGCTGGAGCAGTAAGCAACTATCCCAAGACGTTCAACTTAACCGAGCGTCAGTAGTCACAGGAAACCAGGCATCAGTGAAACAATTAGAGACAGGGAAGGTATCCGTGCTCTGGACCCCATCCAACTGTGGTTGTGCAGGCTGAGTCATGGACGGGTAGCTTGAAAGCTCCGCCTGACGTTGAGGTGAAAAACACTTCAGGCGCGATACAAAAAATAAAAAAATGCAACAAAGGCACCCTGCTGAGTCACCCCTAACGGATCGACATCGTTCCAGAGAGCTAACCGCCGGTTACTGTGCCAAAAAAGAGCAACATTATGCAAAATAAATGAGATCATGGTTGAAGCGGGAGGCAAAGCGGGAGGGGAGGGACAAAGAAACTCACAACACGAACTCCATTGAGATCGGCTCCCTGCCATGTCAAAAACTATGTCCAGCCAAACGTGTACATTGCCTTTCGGACTCCAATCAGGGAACCGAGACGCTTCGACCAAGACCAACTTCGAACTAAGGGCCTTCATTCCTCTCGATCAAGTCATCGTCTGGCCACCCCCCTCTTCTTCCATCCACACCCCCGGAGTGCAAACAATGCACGTCAAGGGAGTCGGTGGACTGGCATGCGCAACATGTGGCCCAGCAATCGGAGCCTGGTGCGTGATATAACGGTGTTGAGCGGTTCAGTTCCTTTTCCTGTGCCATAAACAAGGCGTCAAACACGCTCGTTACTCACGCGGTGTTCCCACCAGATGTAAGCTAAATTACGAAGGCACCGGTGGTCGAACGTAACTAACCTCTTCAGGTCCGCTGATCTAAGGGGCCAGGTTTCACAACCGTACAGTAGGGTCGAATGTACCGCTGCATTGTACACTCTACCCTTCAGGGCGAGAGTGATGTTGCGCCGGCCCCATAGATGGAGAAGATTAGCAAAAGCACCTCGAGCTTCTGCTACACGGCTCGTGATCTCATCTTCAATCCCAAGGGTGCTGATACAAGTTCCCAGGTAGTTAAATTCTTGAACGACTTCTAGATGATCCTCACCAAGGATCAGCGGAAGAAGCGGTCCAGGCCAATCTTGAAGTGACGCTTTGCACTTCGAGGGTGCGAAGAAAAGCCTGAAGTGACGGGCAGACAGTGATAATCTGTCCAGTGCCGCTTGGCACGTCTAGAAGCTGTCACAAATGAGGGCAATATCGTCAGTATACTCCAGGTCAAGAAGTCGTTTATTTGGGAGCAACTCCACACCTAAGTCGTGACCTGTAAACGCGATTTCCATGACTTCGTCAGGAAAGGTGACAGCGGGCATCCGTCTTACACTGCTGGAGATATTGAAGTGTTACGATAGCTTGCCGTAAGCACTCACTCTGATCGAGCTATGGGCGTAAATCCCGCGCATAAAATTTACATACTTCTCGAGCACACCTTTCCTTAGCAGACTGTCCCAAAGGGCATATCGATCCACCGATTCGAAGGCAGCTTTAAGATCGAGGAACACGACAACGGTTGGTCGCCAACGTATGTGACGATGCTCCAACAACTGACGCAAAGATGTGGTCGATGTATCCCCGATCTCGAAGAAACGCGGCTTGCTCCTCACGAATCTGGCTTTCATGAGCGCCAGTCAGTCCGTGAATGATTACAGATACAAGTAATTCGTGTAAATAAGTAACAAGAGCAGGGTCCCGAATTTGAAGAGGGCTAGAAAAAGATCAGCTGGTTTAGCGACTTTATTAAACATCAGCAGTCCAAACTCCTGTTCGACTTCTGAGCGAAGGGGTGAATCCAAAATGACAGCTAAGAGAACAGGGCGATCAGAAACCGGGGAGAAAGCTAATAATTCCGGCCTATTAAATTGTCTTTCAAAATGCGCAGCCCAAGAATCCAAATGTTTTGACAAGCTGTAGATAGGCTGTCCACTCTCGTCAAAAATACCTTTACTAACAACAGGACGCCTGCTTTCCGTTTCCCGTATTAGACAGAATAACTTCCGTTGGTTATCAGGAGCACGGGCCACTTCCATCTCCGACACACGATGAAACCGCCAGGATTCATGGTCTCTCTTCAGGCTGGCAAGGAGTTTTGTCTTGTGGTCTTTGCGAGTCGGTTGTTTTCGCTTC